TAGCTGACCGTCTGATAGTTGTCCGGTAAGGCAGATCGATAGTGGACCGTCGGATAGATGTCCGGTGAGGCAGATCGATAGTTGACACTCTGATAGATGTCCGGTAAGGCAGATCGATAGTTGACCGTCTGATAGATGTCCGGTAAGGCAGATCGATAGTTGACCGTCTGATAGATGTCCGGTAAGACAGATCGATAGTTGACACTCTGATAGATGTCCGGTAAGGCAGATCGATAGTTGACCGTCTGATCGATGTCTGGTAAGGCAGATCGATAGTTGACCGTCTGATAGTTGTCCGGTAAGTCGGATCGATAGTTGACCGTCTGTTAGATGTCCGGTAAGGCAGATCGATAGTGGACCGTCTGATAGATGTCCGGTAAGGCAGATCGATAGTTGATCGTCTGATCGATGTCCGGAAAGGCAGATCGATAGTTGACAGTCTGTCCGGTAAGGCAGATCGATAGTTGACACGTCTGATAGATGTCCGGTAAGGCAGATCGATAGTTGATCAGATGTCCGGTAAGGCAGATCGATAGTTGGCACTCTGATAGATGTCCGGTAAGACAGATCGATAGTTGACACTCTGATAGTTGTCCGGTAAGGCAGATCGATAGTTGACCGTCTGATAGATGTCCGGTAAGACAGATCGGTAGTAGAAATATTGTGCAAGTGATGTAAACATACACTACTCTGAAGTATAGATAATGTGAAATACAGTACTATTATGTTTGATAGTCGTGGCTATAGTTTCGAACCCTGGGGTCCTATTGGTTTAAAACACATTCACCTAAATTTCGTTAGGGTTTGCATTCTATCAGATTGAATTTCGAGACAACGAAAGCCAGGAGTTTAATTGTATCAAAGGCCTGACATGTACGTGAATATAAACATTAATTCATTTATAAATCTCATGAGATCTGCTTAAAAAGAATCAGGAAATCGGAAACCATGGATGGATATCGTAAGTAATAATAGGCAGTCTTACTACATGGCTGTCATGTCATCCATTGTTCTTCTTGTACTGCAATAGACCGTGTTACCTATAACTGTTCTATATGTTACCTGTAACTGTTCTATATGTTACCTGTAACTTTTCTATGTTACCTGTCACTGTTCTATATGTTACCTGTAACTGTTCGATATGTTACCTGTAACTGTTCTATATGTTACCTTAACTATTCTATATGTTACCTGTAACTGTTCTATATGTTACCTGTAACTGTTCTATATGTTACCTTAACTATTCTATATGTTACCTGTAACTGTTCTATATGTTACCTATAACTGTTCTATATGTTACATGTAACTGTTCTATATGTTACCTTAACTGTTCTATATGTTACCTGTTACTGTTCTATATGTTACCTGTAACTGTTTTATATGTTACCTGTAACTGTTCTATATGTTACCTGTAACTGTTGTATATGTTACCTGTAACTGTTCTATATAACTGTATATATTACCTATAACTGTTCTGTTACCTGTAACTGTTTTATATGTTACCTGTAACTGTCCTACATGTTACCTGTAACCATCTTTGATTTTACCTGTAACCGTCCTATATGTTACCTATAACTGTTCTATATATTACCTATAACTGTTACCTGTAACTGTTTTATATGTTACATATAACTGTTCTATATATTATATGTTACCTGTAACTGTTCTATATGTTACCTATAACTGTTCTATATGTTACCTGTAACTGTTCTATATGTTACCTGTAACTGTTCTATATGTTACCTGTAACTGTTCTATATGTTAACTGTAACTGTTCTATATGTTACCAGTTACTGTTCTATATGTTACCTTAACTGTTCTATATGTTACCTGTAACTGTTCGATATGTTACCTGTAACTGTTCTATGTTACCTGTAACTATTCTATATGTTACCTGTAACTGTTCTATGTTACCTGTAACTGTTCTATGTTACCTGTAACTGTTCTATGTTACCTGTAACTGTTCGATATGTTACCTGTAACTGTTCTATGTTACCTGTAACTGTTCTATATGTTACCTGTAACTGTTCGATATGTTACCAGTAACTGTTCGATATTTTACTTGTAACTATTCTATATGTTACCTCTAACTGTTCTATGTTACCTGTAACTGTTCGATATGTTACATGTAACTGTTCTATGTTACCTGTAACTGTTCTATATGTTACATGTAACTGTTCGATATGTTACCTATAACTGTTCTATGTTACCTGTAACTGTTCGATATGTTACCTGCGGCTGTCCTGTACGCGATTTACTTATTTGACATTTCACTCCTAAGACAGCTAAAGGTAATCGGGATTGTTTGATCTCTTTTGTCTTAAGGTGGATACAAAAAAAGATCAATATAGAGTAGATATACTCGTAGACAGTTCTGTTTTAAAATATTTCAATTTTAATTCAACCTTGATGAAACGGAAACATAATTAATGAACAAGTTAAGTCAAATTTATTCCAAGAGCAGAATCGTCTATGTACGAATAAAAATTCACTCAAAACTTCAAGTATTCAAGAAGGTTCTTATATAAAAAAAAATCTGCGCCTCGTCTTTAAATTACTAAAGTAAGGGTACAAGTTTCGAACAGGTCATAGTAACCATTCTACATGTTGAAATGTATGAGAATTTCGCGTGTAAGACAGACTTGAAACGAAACATCAGTATAATTCACATTTCTAGGTCACCGTCTTATACCATACAAAGTAATATCGCTAATGTCAACTATGTATCTACAGTTAGAATTTATCAGAAAAACTTGGCCCTCTGATATCATGTAAACCAACACCACGTAATCGTTGTTGTACGTCCTCTGATGGAAAGGCAGGTCGGAAAACCGTGGGCGCTGTTATCAACATACACCATTGTCACAGACACTCCATTTCACATTATTCATTTAAAGACAGTTTTCTTTCTGACTTATCAGAGAGAGAGCAGACTTTTATCGAAACCTACCAGTCCAGAGACATCTCAAAAATATGCAGAGAACACAATACACTGTGCGTCATTTTAACACATACATGTATAGCTTAGACAAAAAACCATGATTATAGTTTCATGAAAATATTAACAGTTAAAGACATGTAACAATATAAACACAGGGGCATGCTATTTGTTATACTACTTACACACTAGAGAGGGGTATCACTTGCCATAATACATTTACACAATAAATGTGTCTTTTTTACTTTCTGTTGACCTTGCCCTTTTACCATACAAATGTAGAGATAAGATCTCCATATCACCGCAATAAAATCTCAAGTTCCTGTGTACATCACGAGTGCCAGTGTCCTCGCGATTACAATTCTCTGGGTATGTCTTGTCATAAAGTATGACCAGGGGAATCTTACAAGGTTTATTGCCCAATAAAAGGGTTTTGTTCGCCATTTTTTCATGATTTCATATCATCATATAGAATGATCTTATAAGTCGGGAGGTCTCTCTCGGCTGCGGAGCATATTAGAATCAATAACAACGAAATATCAGAGAAATTCAATACTTTTCAACTTTATCCTTTACTTCATTGTCAACAATAATCTTTTTTTTATAATTCTTAAATCATCTCCAGGTCATAGCTCACTGACTGATTTCTTCTCGTCACAATTGTTTCTGGTTTTTTTTGGGGGGAGGGGCCTTTTTTTCAACTTTTTAATTTTTTTTTTCACATGAGGAGTTAAAGGACTATGCAGGGTCTTTGTTGCCTATTTTGATAATCTCTTCGATAAACTCAGTTTCATATGAAACAAAAACCAGCCAACAGAGCTACACAGTAAATTTCCATCGGTATGTCAATATCTGTTGAAAGGTCTTACCATCTAACTCAACGAAAATGTTGTTATTCGAAATACGCTTCAGTAAATTCGCAAGCATACATGTGTACTACCGTCGCCTTTCTTAGAATCTTAGAAATGAAACCTCTCATAACTAGAGAACGAAGGCGCTCCTTCAGTTTAGAAGGAGGCATGGTGGTGTACAGAATGGAAAAATCAGATGTTCTTATGAAATGGTTTTAAGAAAAAAGTATACAGGATGGTAACAATGTATTGTAGTCGATTCGGCTCCGCCTTGGTAAGCACTTGGTCATAGATGTATTGGAGTTTTGAAGCCTGTCACTTTACTTCAAAATTATATCATAGCTTAGCATTAATTAGGTCCACTACCCCGGCAAAGCAGTGGCTCACTTAGTGTTATAAACTGCGGTAAGAAATGTGCTCACTTTGTAAAATAAATAACATAAAATAACAAAATCAGTCAATATAAAGGTATTGTTGATTATATCACATTTCAGTCTGACGTGTTTGCACTCATTAATTTTGTTCTTGCAGTGACCGGCTTTAATATTGGGTATTGATGCTTTGACTTACTGTGTTTATGATAACTTCTCTAACTTAATACAAGGTTTTACACAGAACGCAGAATCGATAGCATTCATTGTGCAGCGGTAAGACCTGGTGACACAGACTTAAAACAAACACCATACATACAAGGGGAGGCTGTCATTTAAAGGACCAAAGCTGTTTATAGGACGTTAAGTAATATGAAACCAAACCAAATAAATTACGTCTAGCGATTAAAAACCTTTTTATTTATTTTACAACAATGAGAAACAATCTATTAACTTATATAAATCGCTTTTGTTGGCCCGGAGGGAAGCGCGCAAGGGGGTCTTACGATGAGAAAACCCACGGGCAGGTGACCCTTTTCACGTCCGTTCACGATCACGAACCCCAGATGGTTATGTGAATAACAGGTGCGTTACCACTGTGACACTTGACCACCCGTATTGAAGAGTCTTGGTGTGGCTGGAGGGTAAGGGGGTCAAAGGCGGGCATGAATCTGTAAGTCCATGATCCCTGAATCGTCGAGTTGTTGGGATCTAAGTAAACTGCATATCCACTATGGCATAACTCGGCTAAAGGAATGCATGTACATAGTTTAAATACTGAAGTTTGCTTACGATTGTCTGGAAACAAATTTTAAAAAAATTATTTATTTATTATTTCAGTCGGAGTTCCGCGTGAAATGATGTCGTCTCCTCGTGGTTGGTCGGTGTCACTGTGGTGTTTGTTGCTGTGTTGTCACGCTGAAGCATGGCGTGACACATGCATAATCGGATGTGAATGTTCTGGAACGACCATAGAATGTCGACATTTAGATCGGAAAACGTTTCCTGCAGACCTCGATCCAGACACAGAAATCCTACGTATCAGGGATTCCAAGATATCGTACATTCAGCAAAATGCGTTGGCGAAAATGCGCAATCTTCGAGTACTGGAGATAAGTTCATCTGACATCATTTACATACAGACCTGTGCATTTGCAGAAGTGTCCAACTTCACTTCTATAAAATTTTCAAAAAACAATATTACAAATGTAGTTCAGAATGCTTTCGCTGTCGTTGCAAATGTGAACGAGCTCGTGTTCGAGGATTCGAGAGTAGAAACAATATCTACTCAAGCATTCACGCAACTTCGAGACGTAAAGACTTTCATTCTCAGTAATCTCACCGTCAACAAACTTGAGCGGGAAGCAATAGATGATGTAAGTGGTATATCGAATTTCCAGATTGATTTCAATAAGTTTGGTTACGTTGGACAATCCCCGTTGAACAGTTTGTTTAACGTTACATTAAACATTAGCCAAAATATCTTCCCTAGCCACTGCGGCGTGGGAGATGTACTCTCTGACCTTATTCCAGAGACAAACGTTGTAATACACTTCCAGAATAACGTCATTCAGTCATGCGCGTGTAATATGAGCTTAATTGGTGCACAACGAGCATCGTTCATCTCTATGGACCAAAACACATGTTCGGGACCACCGGAAATAGCAGGTGAGCCTCTTCTTGAACTTGCGGACACGCCATTTTGTCGCGCTACAGCGACCAATAGAACATCGCCCTTGTGGTGTCCTGTAACACGCCGGATGTCTCTGCTTCATAACTGTCATGCCTTCGGATCCCCTCTAATCCCACAGGAGGAGGTCAAGGACCCGAGATATGACAAAGGTCAAAATGACAACAATGGGGCCCCAAACTGCAACCTTTCCTTATTTTCTATTTCATGTTGGGTTTTTTTATGCTTGTACTCCTGGAACTGACGTATTCAATGCGTATACCGGACGTCAAACAATTAGGTGTACTCACAGATCCCGGCGCTGTCACAGTTATCTTTGAATTGTATAGTCTTTTATCCGTGACTATTTTCTTTTAATGAACGATGACGTTTGATCTGTTTTGCTGCTGACTTCCGAATGGATAAAAAAAGGTATCGACAAAAATAACAATTATTCATATGGCTAGAATTCTAGATAAACGATTTTTAGACAATAGATTGAATGTGGAATATTGGCATGAACAAAGAATCCTTCAAAACGACCCAATAACTGAAAACTTCAGGTGAAGTGGCTTCTCTAAGGAGCAACACGCTCAAATCGTAATTACTGTACTCAACAGCCTATATGATTGAGTGGGTATTCAGTTATCACGTTATCTGCCCATTGTGTGATAGGAATATCAATCAAAACTGGGTTACATATTACTGCGATGATTCAAACAAAACTTGAGGATTCATAATCAATAACACATTTCCGGTAGGTCCGTACGTGTTTGGGAAAGTGTTGTTTATCGACTTTGCTTTACAACTGTGAACCGAATGTATTTTGCTTCCGTTGTGTGTGATATACGTTAACATGTAACCTAACTCATTGTCATGGTTGTATCTAACAGTGACAATGATGAAATTTTCCGAAATCAATTTTGGAGTATAAATCAAGTGTAAATAAGTTGTTAGGCCATAATCAAACGTGCATCACTCAATTCATTATCTGTCATGTCCCGGACATGTAATGATTAGCCGAATAGTATCGTTTGCCGTGCCTGTCCGTCCGCAATGTGGTATGTTTCTCCGCCAGTCACGATATCAACATATGTAGGTCTCGCATAAAGGCTTTGTCTACCATGGATGTATTTTAGTTGCAAAGAAATAGTGAAAAAAACATGTTTAAATCAAATATTGTTATTTCCCATTTTAGCAAGAATGGACGTATGGAATTTTGACAAGACTCCGCCTTTGTGTGTGTGTTGTACAATCTTTGACTTGTTTGCCTGCAAGGTAGAGGTAGAAGTAAACATTCTTTAGTATGTTGTCATAATTACATCTACAATGTGTAATCGGTAAAAGAACCAAACCCAATGCTTGCATCATATGTTATCAAGGAAAACACGGTCACTACTTTTACTGTATATGGAAATGCATGATGTATGTTAATCATACACATCGCTAAATACTGTTTATAAACGTAGTTTCAAATGTGGAAAGACATCTTGCTGTTATACAACAAGGTATATTTACTCCATAATAAGTAAACAGCGGCATTCATTCGAAAATGTATTGTTGTTGTGGACGTTGTCAATGACGTCATCGGTTGGAATATCGGTGTTGATAAATGTAACTGATTATTTTAACCAATTTTGTTTTTATATGTATATAAAATACCAAAAGAATTCCTTTCCCAAAAAAATCAATATCAATTGTATTATATATTGGTTGAAATATGTAACAAAACAAAAGCTGTATTGATGGTGTTTCAAAGAAGGCGATAAGTGGTTTTTTAAGAAATTGCTGGCTGAAGTGTCACAAACCTTATATAATCTGAGTGTGTTATTATTGTATTATGTAGGTACTAGTCCTGGCAATGTCTAGAAAGTATTGTAATAAATATTAATTAATTAGCATGAGACAATTATTGCCTTTTTTCATGTAAACATTTTATATTTTACAACACCTGCGAAACAAGTTAAAGCAACTTATACTTATCACTCTTGTGGGAGGAGATCGGAGTACCTGGAAAAAAACATGTGGTCGGACAGGTGACCCCATACCTTTTCACCTTCGTTCCGAGAATCGAACCACGGACAGCTAGGTGAAAGGCAAGTGCGTAACCACTGCGCCATCCGACCTCCCTTGATCCATCGTCTTCATGACCTGCTATAAATATAGCATTTTCTGCTTAATTTATATTGTGTAAGAATTGTCACCATTTCTGAGCACCCAGGAAATTCATCTGTTTTTCCACATTCCTTAGTATGGTCCTGTCTTTTATTCAGCTTGATCGATTTTGAGGTTACCTTGAATTTTAGGTAGCGTGTGTAACGTCCTGATCAATACAGTGTTTCGTTTTTTGGGTTTTTTTTTTCTTACTTCTTTTTTTTCTCTAATATTTTAAACATCAGCTCTACGTTCATTCGACATTTAATTTGTTTAATGTGCAATTTTTCCATAACGATATACCGTATGTTTCATTTTCTCGTCACAGAATCAATTTCCGCTCATCCATCTTTTTCAGCGAATTTCAGAAACATGGCCCATGTATGAGATACTAGAGAATTCCACATTGACTTCGTTATGTACGGAAACCTGATTTATACTAGGGAATTAGCTCTAGGTAATTATCCGCCAAGGTCTACGGTTCTAATCAGGAATACGATAACTAGATATATATAGTGTTTTACATACGTCATGTTGACGCCCGCGTGTCTTATTATGGTCGATCGAAAGATTTCTACACTGTAACAACATTTACCTGTTTCACCCACTCTTCAGCAGTGACGCCAAACAAAATAAGTCCGAGTGTTCTATACGACATAGACAAAAGATAATTGCATACTTTACTTAAATTACGATATATCAAAATCAAATAAATGAACATCCTTTGTCTTTGGTGTAAGGCGATTGTATTACATAATCCCTAATACATTTTCATTTCGCCATTTATGTGTTTAAGTTCACAAAAAATAACAGAATTTCACCGCGTGAGCTAAATTGTAATCTCACGTGCACAAAGGCACCGTTGATTTAAATGTACGTTGACTTTTCCACAATCTATACTAACATGCCAATTCTAGACCAGGGCACACCCACATTCTCAATATTAGAGCTTACAAGAAATTGTGAACGGCGTTACAAGAGCATGTATATGTAAAAATACTTGAGAGAATTTCATGAAAATAAGTCTAAAGCCGAATAAGAAAACATATTCATTGAATTTCATATTGTTAACATCTGCGTTGATTAGATTGAGTTAATTTAGATTTATTAATGTATCAAAGTCATAATATCTCCACTCAGGTTCATTAAGCAATTCCGCGCGTGTCATTTACTCTTTATACTCTTTCTGTGCGCTCTATTTTTCATGTGTTTTTGCTACTTTGCTGTTGGATTTGGATTTAAGTCTTCTAAGTGCAACAAGTTCATAATTATCTCGGCATCACTATTTATGTTTTAATCAGACGTCTTATTTTTATACCGATATTCATTACTATTTTACAAATGATGTTGCTGAATGTCTTCTTATTCTATTACAGTCGAACTTAGTTATTTCGAAGTCGGCAGGACCGTTGGAGTTATCCGACATTAGATTGAAGCGAGATCGAATGTTTGGTTAAAAGTTTGGACGTTTGGTCTTCGAGATATACGAGTTGGAAATAACGAGGTCCGGTTGATTTTGCGCACATTTGTTGGGAATGTTTAGAATATTTAGTAATATCACAGTTTACTTACAAAATAAGACATCTATAGTGTAATAGTAACCAGTTACCCAGTAGATCATACAGTGGGCCGTTTATGACCTAAGGTCTAAAAGTTAACCAAGTCCATTGTATAGAAAACTCGGGGTCACTGTGGTATAACAAAAATCGTGTTACATGTCTATACTGCCATATCTTCCCCAGTATTGGACTTGTATGGTTGTTTTAGTGTCAGAAGCTGTGAAATGGAAAATGCACAAGTTGTGAGGATAACCCCAGTATACAGGGCTTTGTACCCAGAGAGAAAACACTTTTCCTGGAGTGTAGTAAGGGGAAAAAAGACCTGTATTCTCTACGCAATGGCGAAACATGCCACAGTGATCTAGGGAGGATTCAAGTCCCCAAGTATAGCAACAGCAGTGAAACTTTCAATGCCATTTACATGCTGGGAACTGAGAACATCACGTGAGATACGTGTGAACCTGAATGGAGTCGTGAATGCCTTGATAAACTGCAGATATGTAAATAGTTGTTATCATGTGATTGATGTGTAGTAGGAATGAGTAGATAAAAACACCCTGCCCCTGGTTGGGTATACACAAGCGACCATGCAGTCTCTAGCCGGACACTCTACTAAAGGGAAATTCCCACTAGCCAAGTATGGCGACTCGTACTCTCAAGTTGATAAACATACCGACAAATTAACAGCTCATTTATAAGACTTTGAATAACTCTCAATCTCTTTTGAATCGAATCAGCTACAAAGTCATCGTTACTACTATCACACTTCCAGAGGCCGTGCCGCTTTAAATACGTCACTATGTCCGAGTAATCTGCCGTGCGGCTTTAGATACGTCACTGATGTCGTGATCTGCTGCGCCGCTTTAGATACGTCACTGATGTCGTGATTTGCTGCAACCGACGCACCTCCTGCTTTCAAACTATGTGGACCCATTTTCTCCACGTCAGTTACATGTAGCAATCTCTTGACTATAACCTTGCGAGCCCAAGTGTAATTCAATAGCCTGTTCAGTTCAGAATGACATATACAGGAATGAACAACAATAACACACAAACTTTCTCATCCAACACACACACCGTCAGTTAGCATAATTCAGCGTATTACCCACGTACAATACAATCATTCCTTGTCACTCATTAGGATAAGTTCCGATAAATTCGATAATTCTTTCCTGTTCATAGATTTCGTAAGCTGGAAAAATTTTAACACACTGGGTCTATTAAAATGATATTTCTTAATGAAACATTTCCTTAATTCCGCATATCTTTCACATTTAACTGTAAAATGAAATTCATCCTTTTCTATAGTGTTATACAGAGACAGAAACTTCTCTTTGTTCAAATTAATCCAACCCAATGTGATATACTTTATTCAACATGCTAAGAGGAAAACCTGAAGTTTTACCTTTACTTATTACAACCTCATTACCAAACCTATACTGATCGATTTACTTCCCCAAACACGCAACGAAAATTAATCTGGAAAAATATGTACATCGGAACACAGTAAATTACTTAGCTCGTTAAAACACACACACACACACACAAATGAAAAACAGAACAAATAAATCGTTAAATCTCGCACTACCAGTAAGTTCTCAGAAAGGTAAAAAGTGATCACATAGGGAAAGCAGCATGTCATTATTAATGGACTCCTTTTTACATACTGACTGGCGAGCTGTACGTTTGTCTCCCTCTACCAAACTATGAACAAAAGAGTTACCAGTAGGATCTTTATAACAGAATAGCGAGTGCGCCCACTTACTAGAATACACAGCTGACGAAACGACTGAAAAGGATGTATTGTTCCGCAGAAGACTGTTTATATACAAAGCCACGTGCATCGGGTTTCCAGGAAGAGATGAATGCCCGTGTGACTTAATAAAATCGCTCTATCGCTTGAAACATCCAAAATATTTTTACAAGTGATCTCACTCTTTCTTAACAAAAGTTTTATTGAAAACCGTCCACTGCCTTGTGTTAAGACGATCAAGACGTGATCCCCGAGGATAAAATGGTCTCGTCAATGTTTCAATGTTGGATTGTAAATTTACATCTATAAAAAAATAGATTAAATGGTTAGAAAGAGACACTTACACACGAAGGCTAATCGAATCTCACACATTTCAAAACACAAAGCAGATTTTCCGAGACATCCTTTATTGCTTTTACCCGGTGACATCCATATGCCCCAGACTTTTATGATCCACAACAAAGTCGGTAAAACTATTGACCCAAATGCGGCCGACTCTCAACGTGACACAATCATAGTGCCTGGGGCTAAATCGCTCCTCAGCTACTCCGACAAAGCAATCGCGGTGGAAGCACTGACCAATTATTAGTCCCTTTCCAAGAAAATGTAAAAGCGTCTACCCCTTCAAGGACGACGCACCACAGCCTAGAATTAAATCTGTGACATTTACGATTACTCGTATCTGCAATACGATCAATCAGGTGGGGCCCGAAATGGTGATACACATTGTGAATACCCAGTACTGATTAGAGCAATCGTCAAAATCTGTACATCTACTCGGATCCTCACGTCTACGTATCCACGGAGTATGAAGTACTTTGTGCCCGTCAGAACAATACTCATAAATATCTCGAGCTACATTCTGGAGATTCGGCCTTCTGCCATCAATAGTTACTTCAGTACACGACCTTAGATATCGTCTCCGACCGAAAATTAAACCCGTTTAGCAGCCTCCAATTTCAAGTTGAACTAATCGTTTGCTCCGGAACATTTCATGAACCTAACACAATCCTACGCTATGACGTTTGCTTAATATCGGGGAGGTTTTTCTCACCACTCCCCGTCTGTAGAAGTGTACTAACGACAAAATCTCTCTTTATCCCCACCAAATGGACACATTCACATTGTTGTACATGATTCAGCACATAACGAGATGCGTTTGAAACGCTTGCTTGATTACAAACCTCTAAAGGGGAACTCATCCATGGAGCATTGGTACCGGCGCCACAGCTACCAACAGATCATATGTTGCCAAACCGAAATCGTAACCTCCAAAGGAGATGTGATGTTTTCGTCTATAAACCTCCCGTAGCTTGTAACTGATGCGTCAGTGTATATCTGCGTGTAACAAAAAGTGTTCTTATTTAAAGTAGAAACTTTCTCGATTCAAGAACCAAAATTCGATTTTGTCTAAAGCTTCTACACCCAGAAAT